GCATGGCTGTTGTAAACGGAATAGCAGCATCCAAGTGGTACTTTAATCCTGACATCCTTAAACTCAGCTCCTACAAACAATGGTACATCACACTCTCTAATTAGCCTACTTATTGCATGCTTGTTTATTCTGACAATTACATGTTATTATTGTATGTATATTTCAACTTTGCCTTTGTACCCTCAAAAAATACAGCACCTGCCCATCCTACCAGGATATGGTGCAACTATCGAAGAATAGAAAAAGTTTAATACAAAAAACATTGCTAAGCTACTCTGTCTGAACCCCTACGATCATCAGGTTAGCCCAGGTCGATCATTAAGAACTTGATATGCTTGCCAACCCAAATGTTGGCCAGCACATCAAGTCAGGTCGGAGCAAAACCTTTTCAGCTTCAAACACATATAACCTTTTTGGACCTTTTCACCTGGTCATTGCACTAACAGACCCAATGACACCCACAAAATAAAAATATAACTGAACCTAACAACAAGTTAGATATTCTATGTTGCTGTAATATTTTGTTATAAACCTCATACATAGTGATTAACAAATGAACTGCATCGAACCCCAACCATATAATAAAACTGAAGCATTAGTCAGCTCTGGTATCACACAAACAATGACATTTTTAACTGCCATACCTAATAATAGTTTGCCATTTTACATGTTGCATTTCTGACAGTCTTTCCTTCTATTGTTTGCATCACAAGCTGAAAAATTTACATGCCAGGCTTCCATAACAAACTATGATCTTCAATGGGGATGGTGGTACAATGGATGTCCCAAATGCAACTGGTTCTTCCAAGTAGAAGGATCGCATTTAAGATGCTAAGAGCATGATTACATAGATGGTGCTCCTATGACATTGGACACAATCTGACTTTCCTTCACGGTTTTAAATCACAACAGCTGTTGTTACTCATACTGTCACTTTGGAATTGCATCAAAAAAACTTTTTCTTCCCGAACAAAATATTAACCACGAATATTGTAAGTTGCTATTTTACTCCAAAATTCATTTCACAACATAGTACACAATGCATTAATGCATGGAACATGCTAATCTTTTTTGCATTGCATCAATTTATTGTTTGCCAAAATATTACACCATTTTAACCTGCATTTTTGCTCGCCAGATATCCATGCATGTATCAAATTGCTATAGCTGACTTGTATGCACAAGAATCACTATTGTTGATTGTTGTTACTGTGTTCAGGTACAAAGTTGACTATGTTGTAACCTATGGTGATGACATCGCAAACTTCATAATGATTGGGAAATCTATAGAAAACTTCTTCGGAAACTCTGCATATTACTTCATCGTTAATGAACAGTTCAAGGACCCTTTTAAAATCCCACCGGTGATGGCTGAAAAACTTATGAAGAATCGTGTGTTCTAAATACACTTTGGAACTTTTAGAGCAAAAAAATAACAAAGGTGACATCTTGGTTAACACTGTCTTTAAAGATGATTCTGATTATGCAGCTCTTAGCCACCCCTCATCAGAACATGTCATTGATCAGGCCACATCATATACATCTGCAACTCTAGATCAGGCACTTCCAATCTTGATTGATCCATGCACACCAACTGTTAAAGAAAGGGTTATGCTTTTACCTTTGGCCAAAGCACCAATCGAACAACAACCTGCAGACAATTTGAATAGCTAAAATAATCGTTTAGCCATAAAGAGAAGATTGGAATTTTTAGATGACTCAATTGAGCATGAGGACCAAAGGTCTATATAAAAATATTTACTTACCTTATGTTATGTTTGAAACCATCTCATTTTATATGTAAAAAAGACCTAACCTATACTGAGTAACAAAGATGGCTTGCTACAGAAACAACAGTGAGTTGCTGTAAACACCACGAGTAAACACAGTAGATTTGAAACTCAAACAACCAATGTTTGGTTCGAAAAAACACAAGGTCAGTTGTCCAACCACACCCCACTCTTAAATATTAGCCAAAATCATTCAACTCACTAAAGTACCCAGCCTACTACAGTCTGATCAAGCTGAGAACCATCCAGAACTTCAACTTCAAAGAACTGCCCATAACGAGAACATTGTGCTCATCTTCGTTATTCAGTGCCTTTTAAAGTGTTCTATTTCGAAACTAATGTTGTTTTTTCTTAGGATTCAAATACATTGATATATGCTTATGCATTCAGCTACATATTATCTCATCTTGGCCCTAAAATCCATTTTGTACTCATGATTTCTTAAGATAATTTATTTCATGAAACTGAATATCCATCTTTTAGTATTTGTCTCCTATGCAAATTACTACTGTCAGATTATGCTTATGCATTCAATTGCATATTATGTTATCTTGGTCTTGAAAATCATTTTCTGCTTATTATTACTTGAGGCAATTTAATGTTATAAAACTGAATATCGTCTGTAACCATTTGCCTCCTATACAAATTATTGCTATTGGATTATGCTTATGCATTCAGCTCCATGTGATGTCATCTTGGTCCTGAAAACCATTGGGTACTCATGATTTCTTAAGACAATTTATGTCATTCAACTGAATATCCTCTGTAAGCATTTGCCTCCTGTGCAAATTATTGTTGTCATATTACGCTTATCCATTCAGCTGCATATTATGTCATCTTTTCCGTGAAAACCATTTTCTGCTCATGATTGCTTGAGGCAATTTATGTCAAGAAACTGGATATCCTCTATAAGCATTTGCCTCCTGATGCTATCAAATTTGACGATTCTATTCATATATCAAACTTTTAATTTACAACATTCAGCTTCATCGTTTCTTTGGCTCCTGCATTTATCCTATAGATTATTTTGCTAATTTTTTTTCATTTAAACATTCAACCACCGGCAACCATGCTTCAATTTATTACACTCATCTATTTTTTATTTTCTATTCATTGTCTCCTCTTTTTGAATACACAAATATATAGTCATATAGCAATTTATAAACCCGTCAAACAAATTTTCAAAACTTATTTATTGAACTATCTTCCAAAAATGTACAAAATAAAAAAATCCAATCAAGAATTTGTTCCGACAAAATTTCCTTACTTATTTATTGAACTGTCATTAGCTGTTTGCTCCAACAAAAAATGAAAAAGAAGTAAAGCGCTTTCAAATCCACTGGTTATGACCAAGAAAACAAATACCTCAAAAAATGAATCAGTAGCCTTTTCCTTCATTACCAGAAATAAAGTAAATGCACCGTAAAATATGCAGCACCAGCATTAAAATAAATTAAAGTATAAATTTTTTGTTCACATGCCATGCAACTAAAAAGTCACATACACAAGCACAAACGGACAGCTTTGTTTCCTGTAAAATTGTCATGGCTGTCTGTATACGCAAAGGAACAAAGTGATCCAGCGTTGAGTCCTTCATCCACTAGCTTGATTTAACATGTCACCTGACAAGTTTTATTTCACACCTATCGAAAAATAGATGTAAATCCTTGACCATATATATAAACAACCCCACGAAGCAACTCGGAAATAAAGCAATAACCCTTCCTTTTCTATAATAAGCCATATCATAAACAACACAGCTTAAGACTTTCTCAAGCAACATTCACAGACATGGATGAAGAGCAAATAAAACACATGAACAAGACAACCATCGAACACCTTCTCCAACTGTCGATCGATCGTGACGAAGTATGAACTAACCCTTCCTTTTCCATAATAGACCTACATGGTTGAAAACATCATAACACCAAACATAGACCTGCACAACACTAATGCCTGTGAGTCTAAAACAACTCAATGCTACCGGATTAGATACAAATAATTACTCCTGCAATTTGTAACATGCTTTCGAAGAAATCACTACAGTTCTTTACCAACAACATAAAAAAAAATACCTGCAGCATAGTACAGGTATATAACTAGTTTATACTGTTAAACAAATTATTATATAAACTCTGTTTGGATTACGCAAGAGAAAGTCTACATCTTCGTTGGATGGGGAGGTTATGCAGACATTAGTGGGGTGGGTGAGCTCTAAAGTTTAATTATTATTATTATTATTATTATTATTATTGTACTTTAAGATGTGTAATTTTAACAATTTCGTAGGGCAAGAAGGATTGAAACGCAATCCAAAGCAGACAAGTGTGAAGAAGTATCTTTCAAAGAAAGTGATATATTTCTTCTTTGCATTTTACAATTTTCACAGCAATGAGCATTACTTCAAAAAAATTATTACTTTAGAGAGGAACAACATTTTATTCTGTTTGTTGCATGATACAGCCCAGCCTCTTGCATACCACTACCATTGAATTGCTTTCTTGTGCTAGTCATGGCCACGAAGTTAACTTCCAGATCATATATATATATATATATATATAGGTTCATAAAAAGACAGGGAAATGGAGCTGTTCGGATGCTAACCAAATTAACAGGAGCCTTTTGTTTCAATTTGAAGTTAAAATCATGTATTGAGAAAGAAGAACCTAACAGCTAACATCTGCCTAGAAACAGGGAATAGAAGCCCATAAATTGAAGCATGATAGCATGACTATTTTACTGTAAAATTAAGATTAATTAGTAAAATAAAAGATTAAAATCATTGATCTAAACAGACACAGCCATTTACGTGCCATTTTCCCAACGCCTTGTAAAGTTCTCATCAACATCAAGACGAACTACAAAAACTAGATTTAAGGACTCCCATGACTACAGTTGGCATTTGGCATAACCAGCAGCTACATTTGAATATAAATGTAAAATTTATTTAATGTCAAAACTTCTGGAGTAATATAGATAGCAGAAAAATAGCCCGTAAATTAGAGCAAAAATTCTACAAGAAGCCTACGTTATATTGCATTATATAATTGGAGGCTGCCTCCCTCGCCCAGTGCTCAACAAGTACCTTGAAATATTGGGTCATCTAGGAAAATTATCTGCTGCTACTGGGAAAGGGCATTTTCGTTTCTTTTCTTCACCGACTCTTTTCCCCCAATAATAAATTAATGTAGGAACCTGATCAGAGTAGTTTCAGAAACCAAAAGGTGATTTTTTTCTGCTTCCACCTTCTCCATACTGTTCATTCCATTTCCTTAGCTCATTCATGCTTGCTGCATCAAAGGAAACTGAAGGCCCCACCTGTACAACAAGTAATATATATCAATCTACACATGAATTTCAAAATCACAGCATGAAGGAGAATATATGGTTTTGTCACCTGACTTTATTCCTCGTATCACAGTCAATTAACTAAATCATTACCTTTACTTTTGACTCGATGAAATCATTCAAATTAAGAGGTCTTAATGCGGGAGCTGCACCATTCTTGCCTCCCTGTAGAAAAAGGGACCAGGCAAGAAAAAGAGTAGAGTCAAATACTTGGCCACAAATCAGAAGTAAAGATGACTTTTAGGCAACACACAGTAGGAAGAATTCAAAGTCTGTAGATGGAGGGTTGGTGTTCAGTTAAGGGGGACATGATGCACACATGATATAGTAGCGAACACCCAATTTATTTCTGAGGTGCTTCGCAAGTGCATTTGGGGTGAGGTCTAAAAGTTCAAGGAATCAGAATACCTTCTGCCGTGTAACCTTATTAGAAGTGATTTATTCCTGCTGTTTTACAATTTTCACACCATATACAACAGACAATGACATTAATTAAAACTAATTATATTAGAAAGAACAACTTTTTTTTTCTTTTTCCTTTTTCCTTTTTTTTTTTTTTTTAGCTGCATGCTATGGCACATCTTGCATGCACATTACATTGCTTTCTTATATTTTGAGCTAGTCATTAATTGTTGATGAAGGTAACTTCCAGATCATATGTTCACAAAAAGTAGGGGAATGGGAAATGTGGCAGAAACATAATCTTATGCGTTTTGCATTCAAAGACATATTAGCTGTTTGGATGCTAACCAAATTAACAAGTGCCTTAGTTTCAGTTTGAAATTAACAAGGGCAAAATGCAAGAAAGCATAAATGCAAGGAAAGTAGACTATCATTGAAATTAAGATCAAAATTAGCACTTCACTTGACACTGGACCTAGAATAGGCATTCAAACAAAAAATGGACACGTAGAGTGCCCAGGCCCCAGTATATAAGGAAGGGGAGTGTAAATCGTGAAAAAAATTTATTAAACCCAATCACCTTTTCTTCTTGTAAAAGTTCTTCAACTGGTCTATATGCTGCAGCAATACATAGGTTCTGAAAAACAAAATTTGAGACAATCAAGGCACTATATTTATTCCAAGAAACTGAGGGTTTGAAATTAGGAGCAACAAATTACTGCATTACCTTCAAATCACTTCCAGAATATCCCTCAGTTGCATTTGCAAGACTGCTGAACTGGAAATCAGGTTCTAAATTTTCTCGATTCAGAATTATTCTGAGAATCTTCATACGATTTCCAGCATCTGGTAGGTCCACATATATTCTAAACAGTGATACAGCACAATTCTATAAGCAACGTTGTTGTTCACTTGTTCCTTTGAATAGCAGCAGATATGACATAAGGATACATGGCAAATATGATATCTAAAACCACCAGATAGGCTGCAATACTAGAAAAGACAAGGCATTTGCTAAAGCAAACTTGCCTTCTAGGTAACCGACGAATTACAGCATCATCAAGATCAAATGGTCGATTTGTGGCACCAAGGATAAGGATTCTCTGGCTATCTTTTGATCTCAATCCATCCCAGGCTGCCATGAACTCATTTCTCATTCTTCTAGTTGCTTCATGCTCAAAAGAACCACCACGAGCACCAAGCAAACTGTCAACCTATATATACAAAATCCAGTGAACGAAATAACATTCCAAATGGAAGAGTAATTGAATATAGAGGTGTTTAGGAAATGTCAACAGAAAGCAATGTTTTCACTGTATCTGGTCAAAATGGCCACAAACCATGAAGAAAAAGAAAAGGGAAATGAAGATTTATTATCAAACACCATTAACCTCATTATCACACACAATCTAAAGGCAAGAAATGGAGAAACCAGAGACGTGCAATTTGTTTTTCCCAGTCACTAAAATTAACATGATATTTTCTAGAAGCATTTCTCCAGATGATGAAAAGTTACCCAATTTATAGAAATTTTCACAGCACAATTTGTCATAATGATGCAAACAACAAATATGATCACTTGGCAAAGACATTAGAGACCTTTAATTTACAGAGCATATAATTCAAAATCAATTGGCAATACTATGGTGGCTCCATTGCTTTATTTCATCGGTGATTTAGCAATCCCAAGGTTTCTTTTTCCTTTTTTTCAAATAAAAAAAAATGAAGAAAGTGTCATCCCTTTTTTTTTCCGTCCTCACTGATATTTCACATATTTCACACTTATCCCATCAATCTATCATAAATCTCATTGATGGTCATATGACATAGGTCACTGGTGCAGACAAAAAAACGGTAATAGGAATTCCGTGGTTATCTTATTTGCAGGGGGGCAGATTAAGAACTGGAAGAGAAGATACGGATGAAGGTTTGCAAAGATGACTTTCATAATTTCCCTCTATTTGGTAAAAGCATGTTTATAGCATGAAAAAGAAGCAAGATAGATCTGTTTCTGAAAACTTTCAGATTTCAACAATAGATTCTTTCTATTATTCATCTCCTGCCTTTTACTAAGGGTAAAATTGTATGCTGAACAATATTATACCACTTGGACAACGATATTTAACTTCAGAAGTACAAAAATTGATCTCTTTACACAATGCAATAACTGGTTTATTGGTTTATTTTACTACAATTGTCGCACACCCTAGCATGCACACATGCATACACCGAAAAAGGAGAAACTCACCTCATCAACAAATATGATGACAGGAGCCAGCTTGCTGGCAAAGGAGAAGAGAGCCTTGGTGAGCTTTTCAGCATCTCCAAACCACTGTCTCAGGAAACAGGAAAACATTAAGTAACATACAGAAACATGAAGACAATGACTAAACAAACTGAAAGTTCTCAGCTATATCAACCATGAATGAATTTAGCACCCAGTGTGTGTGTATGGAAGATATCCATTGCTGATAAAACTACGAACAGAAGCATGTGTAAATCAGTAGTAATTTTTTCTCAAATTTTATGTAAAGTAAACAATATAACCTACGTGCATGCATTTATGTAATAGCCTTTGGATCACACGCAAAGCATGTGATGCTTTATGCTTTTAAACATGATTGATTTAAATCAATATTAGATTGGAAGTGTTTAAATACCATGAATACATATATTTCAATTAAAGAGATGGCATAAGGAACATTTTGAGCTTTAGAACCCATTGGCAGAATGAATTGTCACCTCCTCTTTTTGAGGGAAAAAAAGGCAGTTCGTTTGTTGCATCGATTATTCTAGGCAAACCAATGTGAAGCACGGCTAAAGTCTTCATCTTAGAACCTAAACCTAAGTATGCGGATACAGCATCAATTTAATGTACCTTTGAAGTAAGAGTTGAACCCGTTATACTGATAAAGTTTGCCCCTGCCTCTGTTGCAAGTGCTTTGGCAAGAAGGGTTTTCCCTGTTCCAGGAGGTCCAAAAAGCAAAATTCCTTTGCAAGGCTGGAAAAAGCTTCACAAAATCAGACCCTGAAAAAAAGGCTAAAAATGATTGTTCATATTAGGAGTACATTCAGTACCCGCAACAAATTTCCATGAGAGAAAAGTTCAGGTCTCCTCATTGGAAGAATGACGAGTTCATTCAAAGCCTTCTTCACATCTTCAAGAGCACCTACATCATTGAATTTGACACCGATTTCACCCGGAGCTACCACAGCTGAAACAAAGTTGCTTTCATACTCATCCTTTGCCAAGTTCTGCTGATATTTATATTCAATAGAGATGAGCATATAATATATACAGCTGTCAATATTCTCAAAGCATTGAGAGAAGAGAGTATACACATGCCTTCAAATTCTGTGATGCCTTTTCAGATATGGTTTCTTGCTCCTTCAACCTCACAATAGCTATCTCAAGGCTTCCCATGAAAAGAACAGATATCAGCTAGAGGTGACAAAACTTTGACTGACATACAAGCATGAGCTAGGCATACCTTTCATAAGGCAAAGACAATCGGTCCCCTTTTATACATGGGAGCAGGCAAGATGATAAGTAATGATTCTTTGCCCAGCCAATAAGTTTTTCAGCCTCTGCAACCCACGTACGCAGGCATGCACAAAAAGAGAGAGAGAGAGAGAGAGAGAGAAGAAGAAAAGAAGAAGAGAGAGAAAAGATAAGATAATTTGCAGATCCAAATGGCATACCAGAAAAGAAATTCTTCAACCTTCATTTGTAAAGTTGAACTTGTCAAACTAGTTAGTCTTGTAAATGCTTTTAGAAAAAGCAAAGGTAATGGTTAATGTATTGATATTTAAAATTGGACTCTTTTTTTATGGTGGAGAAAACTTTCATTTGCAAAGTTGAGCAGCTAATTTCTTTTCCCTAAAAATTCATAGTCAACATAAGGATATTGTTATGTTGAATACAGAACCAGAAGTTTGACAATAAGCTGAAATTGGCTAAAATATGTTAGTTTCAGTTTCTTACTCCGCTTTGTTAGAATCAGGCCATCTGTATTTACATGCAGTAGGTCCATGCAAGACATCTCATTTTCCTCGAGAACCTGCATTAGAATTATATCAGTAAATTCAAAAGACAAATGGTGCACAAAAGCATGGGTATCAAATTTCCCAGTACAATTTGCAATTTCAAAAAGTCCACTCAATGTAACAATTAAAAACACTGCCATGATTGAAACAAAATTTGACGGTGACTCCCTACCTTATGCAGTTCATTTATATTGCTCCTTGATATCACGATTCTCCTGTCCTCTTCAACCTGTTTATTGAATGTTCTAAGAAGATCTTCCTCCTGTAAGATGCAAGAAAAAATAAAACCAAAAGAAAATATATAATCAAAAAGATTAAAAAAACAGAGAGATATAGCCACATCTAAAATATAGAAGAGCGCTAGATCTCCTCAGCACAGAAGTCAGTGCTGTTTGAGAAGAAGGATTTCTCGTTCCAATCCTACCATCTAAACCTGAAAGTAAGCTTCAGTTATTCTCTCACTAAACACCAAAGCCAGTAAAAGCTGCCTATTTTCTTCAAAGGAAAGCACATTCACTTAAGCACAGGCAGGCCTGCAAATAACACACTTTTGTTCAATTCTAAGCACTGCATGACATACTTTACATTTTCATTAAATTGTTTGAGTTAACTACTACTTGGCTCCTAATTTACCATTCAGTTCGAGTAGAACATTGATCACTCGTAGACGTACACTCTTATTAAGGTCTAAGCCATGCATTACTAATCTTCCTACAAAGCATGGTATCAGAGAATGCCCTTTATAGGATTCCAAGAAAGAAGAGGGGAAAGGTAGGAGGGAATAAGTAAAACTAAAACATGAGAAACAAGACACTATTACAACAGCCGTTACTCTGGTATACAACAAACATCTTTTCATTATTTAAAACAGATCAGAATAAATACAACAGTTGTTTACCTTTGGGGGGTAGAGGCACAAAATATTGGTGAAGAGCTTAGATATGTCATTTTCATTGGATCTCTTTGCACCTTTGAGTCCCTCAGTGAGGTGCTTCAAGGAGAGAGGCTGGAAGAAAAATCAGTTTTGAGTTAATTACATAGAAACAATAGCAAAGCTCAAAAGCTGCCTGGGAATAATATGGTATTGATCTAAAGATTTTCTTTCAAATTGACAACGCTTTAAAAGTTTTGCAAGCCTTACCAGCTTTGCCAGACGACCAAAATTCGGGAGTATCATTGTCTGTTGAATATGAGATTCAAAGGGAAAAGATACAAATGAAAAGAAAATGGAGCAAATGTTATCCATAGCTTAAAAAAAAATTTAACACAAAATCAAATGCTTTCAACATATATGTATCTGTATGGGTCCATGTAGCTTGATATAAACTTTTGAAACTTACAAATCTCTCTTTCTCCTTTGGTCCTGTTTCAGCTTTGTTTTGTCCACATATCAAAACAACAGGACCTGATAATTTGTCAAACATTTCCTGCACCTTGCTTACAAAAGCCTTGCGGTTTGACTTGGGAACTGCCCTAGTCAACCACTGAGAAGAATCGGGAAAATAGACAATGAGGGGTTGCATGGAATGCAAAACCTGCAAATGAGGGAAGAACAAGCATCAATTCTTAACAGCAAAATCAAGATGAGGAGCACTGGACAGGGAAAAAGAAATATCAGACAATAATACCTCACACAAAACCTCCATTGCAATATAGCAATCTTCTGTCAGAGTGTCAGGATCATGCTCAATGTCCTTAGCTACACATTAGCCAAGGTCCGGTTATTTACATCCACGCAAACACAGGCCATATGTATAGTCAAAGGGGTAAGCCAGGTTTTAAATTTCCAAATTGGACTTTTTAATTCAAAACATCCAAATGTTGCTTCAACACCTCACACAATTTTCATACAGCTGATGAGTTTAATCAACTTTAACGTCATTTCAATTTAAATAAGTAGTTAAATCATTACTGATGCAAGAAATTACCATCTATCCAATAAACTGGTGCTTTTGCAGGCTGCTCCGTGAGCTTCTCATCCTTCTCTCCTTCATTTCCTTTGTTATCATTTCCAGTATCCAAAATTACAGCAACTCGATCGCCATTCACCTCATATACCTCCCCGCGTTGACCACTTGATAAAGGCCTGAAAACATAACACTCTCTGATGAAAAGTTCTGCCTGTCAATGTCATGAATATGAAAGTGCATGTCTGTTATCTATTAAGTGTACTTCCACAGCTGATAACCAAAATTCTCTTTCTGAGTTTTGTTAGTCCAAGGCAAAGTACAAGTCTAATGAGACTAAAGGTGTTCTCGTGCTGTGTTAAAGAAAAGGAGAGCTTATATCTAAAGCAATAAATTAGGGCTACAGTAGTTTATCACAAGTTTCACTTGACTTTCATTCAAAGTGTCGCATATAAGGGTAAATCATGAAAGATGCGGAAGATTTCATATATTGCCTCATCAAAGTTTACAATTCAGAGTTAGAAGACATAGCCTCAGAAAAGCAAAAGACTTTTTATTTATCCACCACTCGTTCTGCACTTTCAAATTGTCAAAAGTAATGCGCCAACAAATCTGAAAGTTGCTGCAATTTCCCAAATCCCAAAAATATGAACTTGAAAGAAGCAGGGTAAGCAATGCCGCAAAAATATTGAGACAGCAGCAGAACTCTATATGATCTAAAAATGGTATTCAAGCCAAACCACACCAAATCTAGCAAGTATCACCAGATATGCAGAAATCAACTATCATCTAAAATTGTCCACAGACACTGCTGGTCACTTACAACTCCACCAGAACCGTCCACTCTATCAAGCATGTATTGCCTAGGACAATAGTTGTTGCTTAACCTAGTAAACAAAGATCGAAGAAAAGCTGTTTTGTTATTCAATTCAGAGGTGCTGATACCATGCAACTATGTATTTTTGTTTCATCACATCCATATGCTCTAAAGTTGCTAAAGCACCATTATCATTTTCCTACTGATACCTAAAAGTTTTATATGAAGGCAAACATATAATTGTATTCTTTATTTACAGTACATATTGCACGCAAGTGTTATCAGCACGACCAGTGATGTTTTCAAGCTTCCTTTAGTCTCAATGTATTTGCTTCACTTTGATAACTATAACTATGCAAATCTTGGGTGTCTTTATAGCTGCAAGTTCCTCTGAACTTAAAGTTTCCTTTCAAAATCAATAAGCAAAATCCCTGGTGCAAAAATATTTGAAATGCTTCAGAAAAAGAAAAAACATCATTGATACGATACTTAAAACTGCTTTGAAAAGATTAGAGATAGGTCCCCATCCCAAGCAATAATCCTTTAAAAGAAAATTGTCATGATTAGCAGGGTAGTTGGAGAATTTTAGGTTGGATGAAGGAACTGTGCTAAGGTAGGTGGAGCTTGCATACAACCTGCAAGTATTTAAGTGTTTGATACAAGATAGCAATCATTTCTATGCTTGCTCTCTAGAATGGACCAGAATTGGAATTGCTTGATTCAGAATATAAAAGCAGAAGCACGTGTCAAAAGGCAATAACCTCTAATATCTCCAGGTTTGTGAACCATCTGATCCCAGCCACTAAAGACAATAATTCTGTGGTACAATAATCCCAAAAATGACAGCAGAAAATGAAAGAAACTGCCTTAGAATTGCAGCCTAACAGAAAATACGGCCACGAAGAACTTATGCAGCTCCAATAAAATGTCAACAGTGCAATGGCATCTATATGAAGAATGGATTGGAGAGCTGAAGGATCTTTTAAATAAGGTGCTGACCTTTTCACCTACTTCAGGAAAAATTGGATTTCTTGACTTCATCAAGGTGTTTGGCGCAAAAGTTTTCAAAGGAGTATCCTTGGCAACCATGTAGAGAGATTGGCGGGCTCTTTAGTTCTAATTCTGATCTTTATTATTCTAATTTTTTTACTACAATCTTCTCTCCTAACTTTCTCTCATCGATGAACTGAAGAAAAAAAATGCCATCTATGTGGTTTTGTTCTACACATCAGGACAACTTACCAACCCACCTGCCACGGATAGTTGTATAAGCATTTTTCAGACCATCAGATGTTGGTATCTTCCCCAATATGACCCTGTGATGTCAAAGTTCATGGTGGTTGATAAGTTTAAGCTGAATGATTTTAAAAAAAAAAAATGACTAGAAAACCGTCTCATCGTGATACCCATAGTCATAATAGTCAAGTATCAAGCCAATTAATTGATTGGCACTGTATTATTTTCAAATGTAAGCCTTTTGCAAGCCCATATAGAATATATCACATGCTTTCAAAAAGAAAGTAAAAACCCTTTTCTTAGTAATCGTTTACGGTGGTGGGGAAGCAGGAGGGGAGAAAATCAAAATAACCAGAAAATAACTAAAAAAAATAAGGACAGGAAATCGTCCTGACGATGAATACAAAATACAAATTGTTAGATCCAGAAACAGCATAACTGCATTTAAAAGCACCAAAACCACAGAAGAATAATACACGCACATGCAACAAATAAAATGTATAGCAAAGCAGAGAGTCGAACCCTTGAGATGTAGCAGGTCCTTCAATAGATTATTGAATTATCTACACATTCCTTGCATGCATGAATTTTCAAAATATTTAATTATGATATTGAACTAGCTATTGTATTAATTGGGTACAACAAGAAAAGGCCTGTTACATCTTATATGGAAAAAATGGGAAATGAAAAAGTACCTGTCATCAGCCTCAATGCGTATGGATGGCCCAATGTACTTCACCCGATCCCCTAGTAATAGATGACAAAGCAAGATGAACGGAGAAAACCATAAAAAAAAATGTCAAACTTCTTTTTTAAATTATTTTTCCAATAAAGCGAAACACCTAAAATAAATAATAACAACGTAATAGTGTGCATATTGATATTTGAATTCATTCAAATTGAAGATGAAAACCATCATAAGTAAACTACTATCACAAAATAAAATAATCCAAGCACAGCCATGCAAACATCTTCACCTCAAAAACATGCAACAGCTACTACTACTACAAGAAACATTGCCACCACAAAACAAACTGTAATGACTGCCTTTAAAAAAGAATGGAAACAAAGCTTATTGGAGAATCATGTTTGCACTAACTTATTTGAAAAACAGAAACTAGATAAAGAATACATTAACAGTCAGGAAAAATAATATCAGAGCATAGTTCTAAAATGGCAAAGAAATAAAAGCACAGTGCAAGGGTAGTCGGAAAAAGTTACCTTTATTAAGTGGCCTTTTGGGGGTCTCAGAAGGGTCTGCAGTCTCATTCTTTGGGGATTCAGAAGAACTGTCACGTTCTCCAGAGACTCTCTGCCACAAATTAAAATAACAGTCAGAAATTCTATTGTTTCCTTCACAGAAAAATATGTTTCTGGTGACTAGAAAATTAGAGAATATTTACAGTTTGTCACAGTTGTCATGCCCACAATCCAGAAAATAAAAATCCTAATTATGAAAAATTCAAAAGCAATAAATTCTAATGATGAAAAGTTCAACAGCGGCCATAAATTCATAAAGGTCTATAGCAGCAAAATGAATCAGAAACCAATAGCCAAGCATATTAAAACATCAGAAGCCTTGTTCTGACATCATCATTAGATATCTCTTTCCTTCACACACTCTTGTCTTATCTGTACCAAACAACTGGAGCTGCTTTCCAAATCACTGTATCATCCCCAATTCCAGACCTGGTGTTGCTGAGATCAAGCTAGCATCTCACAGAAAATGCATTTCTTAATTCACGCCAAACCATGTCTCCAATTTGCACCAGACAGTGAAGCAGTAAAATACCTTCTATCAGACAAGTGATATTTTACAAAAAATACCTTCTCAAATTCTTCAAGGCTGCAGGGAAGAAGCTTCTTCAGCGCTGCCTCAGCAGTTGCCTCCACATCAACTGCATCATCATCACTACAATCTGATTTTGCATCAGCACTGCTTGCCCATTCCTCTTCATTGCCTGCATCATTGTCATCCTCACCTTCTGACTGCGAACTACACTCCTCCACAGATTCAGCATTATCATCTGATTCACACTCATCATCACCAAAATCCTGGCACAAAATCTCACCAAAACTCAGTTATCATAAATACAGAAATATCACCATAAAAGGATACGAAAATTATCTAAATCTTACATAAGGAGCAAGAACGCTGCTATCAAGCACCAGCAGGGGAACTTGTAAATCCCGTGCAAGTGCTTTAACTGTTCTCTCCCGATAAAGCTCAGTTCCTGCAGATGGTATCGTGACATGGCTAATCAATTCAAAAGCCCATTTTTGGTTTAACCAATAGGACTCAAGAATACACAACAAAATATGAAACAAAGCAGCAAACGTTTCTTAAAATGAATGTTTAGCAATAAACCTGGAACACTCTGCAGCATAATTCTCCCGCTTGAAGAAGTCAGACGAGCCCCGTAGGAAGTGGTGCATTTTTTATGTTTCAAATTGGAAGCAACACATTCCACCAGAGTATTTTTGGAGTGCTCACTAGAAGAGAACATAAATCATTTATTTATTTCCCAAATTGAATGATTTAGTAATAGCAAAATCCAATGACTTTAAGATTTAAAAAAAAAAAAAGACAGAAGAGAAATAAAAGAGACGAGTTGGAGTGATTACTTGATGTAGTATGGAAAATCATCCCAAGAGACATGTAAATTCTCCCATGGAACAATCCTCCGCAAGAACTCATTTTTAAACTTTTCTCGTCTAGTTAAAAATGGAGATTCCTTCTTTTTACTTTCTATAGCAAGCTTCTCATTCTGAAGCCATTCCTTTTGATCATGTTCCCCTAGTCGACCATGTGCATCACAATGCTTTGCATCTTCACTAACTGTTTCTCGCCGAGTCTTCTCATTATCAAAGCTCGCCCCATCTTTCACTGGGGCATGTTTATCCTCACTCGTATTCCTTCCATTAGCTCCCGAACTACAAGTGCGGAATTGAATATTCGTCCAATCTCTATTTCCAAAGGTAGCGCTCCTTGATGAAATTGAATATAATAGCTGTTTTTTAATGAAACTAACATGCGAAGAGCGGTCCCTCAATAGTGTTGTACAGCTCAGAGGCCGATCCTGGCAGTTTGACCTAATGAAATGCTTTGATGGATGAAAGAAAAAGCCCCATCTCTGATTCCTACACTTAATTATTCCTGCATACATTGCAGCTCCTTGCTCCTACTAACTCCTACAGTGCTGCAAAAACAAGGAAACTTGGTTCACATAAAACCATAAACTGCACCAAAACAAGAATTTGATCATAAAATCTAAGATGAACCCATTAACCCTATACATTGAACCAAAAAAAAGGCCAGACAGTAAACCCTCCAAAAATTATAAAGTAGCAATGCATCTAAATGACTGGCAAAGAATTATTGAGATACGCTTAGCCATTTTTCCTTACAAAACTACTCCTTAGTTGTTTCAATCATTCCAAATAAACAAATAAAATGACAGATGACATTCAAAGTTCACATTTTTTGCTTTCTAATCTTTTGAACAATAAAAAACACTAAAAAGAAGAACTTGATTATAAAATATAAGATGCACCCATTAGCCCTATACATTCAACTAAAAATTGGCAATCAACAAACCCTCAAAAATTCTAACGTAGCAGTACACAAACATGAATGAAAAAGAATTATTGCCACTTGCTACGTAATTTTACCCTTCACTAGCAAATTCTTTAACATCTCCAGTGAATAAACTGCAAAAAAAGAAAACCTAAAAGCTTGATAAAAGATTACTAACCTTAATGAATTAGAAACTTCAAAACCTAGATCAAAAAGGTTAAGTCACATACCCACAAAATTACCAAAACGTTCTCTCATTCTTTTCTTTTCTATTCTCTTCTTTTTCTTTCTTTCTTGAGAGAGAGAGAGAGAGCGGTAAAAGTGGAAACGAGAGGAGATGCGAAAGCGTTGTTAATAAGAGAGATAAGATCTGGGGTTGAATGAGATAGAGGATGAGACAAGGATATGGAGGTCAGGGGGTTGTGTTTGCAAGGTTTATGTTACAAACAACATCTGTTTGTTATAGGTTTCAAGGTTTTCTCTTCTCGTTTGCATTTTTTTTTTTTTTTTTTTTTTAAGAGACTTCAGGTACTTAAGTTGTCGCGTCTTGAACCCCAGGGTTTTATGTGGGCTAACCCAAACTTTAGGAGTTTTTTTTTTCAAAATAGGATAGCTTTAAAACTTATTTATAAAAATAAAGTTATTTTAATTTTATTTATCAAAATAAAATAGTTTTTGTCATATAGATCAAATCATCTATATATGTCAACACATGTCAGTTTTTTTAAGGCTAATAATGAGTCATTTAACATATCAGTTTTATTTTAAAAAAAAAAAAATTTATGCTATCATCCTAAATCTTCTTCATTTTTTCTTTACAATCAAAAAATCTCTTTACGAACAACTTGTATGCAATCACTCAATTGGTCGCCACCATCTCCAGCGTCATAAAATCGTCAATTTTTTTAAGCCGAAAGCCAAAACAAATTTCAAATTCTCTCATCTCTATCATCCGGTTGAAGAATGCCTCCACCCACACTCGGCGGGATTGGAAACAACAAAATCAAAGGAGAAGGATCTTCTAATCTCTCTCTTAGGTTATCATCCCGTAACCCTAAACCTAGGAATTAGTAGGTCGAGAATATTATTATCATTAACCACATTCGAAGTGCAATGAATGCGAGTTAACAAGGCACTTAACTTATCCGAAGATATTTATGTGGTGAATATCTATTATAACATTTAGGTTCTATTCCCGAACCTAAAGGTTGCTATAAATTTTTTGTATTGTGTTTTTTTTTTTAATACTAACATGTAGGGAACAATTTATAATAATTGTACTAATACCATCACATTACTATTTATTTACTATTGGTTCGATTACATACCATAGCATTTTACATACGAAACCGATTTTATTCCAACTACTACAAAAGTGGCTTATTTACCCTTATGTCATTTTTTAGGTCATATCATTTATTTTTTCATAGCTTTTACTACTCGCATAAAACAAACCAGGTTAAGCTAAGTATATACAAAACTATAGCTAGTACTATAATTAAAACAACGTGCGGTGGGTCTACTCGAAACCCAAACTCCCATCCAAGATATATGCGCACGGTGCCACCTTCGATAGTCGGTTCTACGGAGAAGTAGGCCACGTACCTTTATTTATCTACATCACAAAAAACTACATGAGTGATAGCTCGGTAAGTTAACGGATGAATGTATGCATGTATATGTATATGTAGATATGAAATACTCGTCTTACTCAAAATAAACCCTTTTTTTCTCATATCATAAAACATAAATAGTTTGAAAATTCCTTTTTCGTTTGTAGACATGTCTCGCTTAGGTGCTTCGGGGTTCCATAATATGTGTCCGACAAACCGGACCTATCTACGGACGAGCCCTACCGAGTCTCTAAAAGTGTACGTCTACACTTGCCCGACCCTAAACCATTACCATATGGAAACCCATGAAGTCCTTTCCTCAAACCTTAAGGTCATGAAAATTCTTTTCTTTAAAATAATTTTCGATCGTTATCCGAAAACCATAACGAAAAAATACATTTTTATAACTTAAAACATTATTTGGGAGCTTGTCATGCACATGCATTCACATGGATCGACATGCTACTAATACTCATAAATGCTTATCTTGAATAATTATATAATTAAATCGTAAGGATGTATATAAAATTGGGCGGCATAACGAGCATAGATATCACTAGTCCGTATAAACCATCACAACAACAACCGTCCCAAACATATCAATCTCAAGAGTACAATTTCATTTTCCAAGCATTTTTCAAGCATGCACATTATTCTTAACTCAAGGCATCATGCATTATTTGAAGTAGAGTACAATGGTAAGCATAACAATAAGGTAACAACTAAAAGTTCATACATATTTCATTAACTATATTGTATCTTTATATTTATTTAATGTTCTAACTCATCATACACGAGTTAATATTACCTAACCATGTCTCAATTCATTTTTTTTTTAACTTAACTAGGTACCCCTTAATTAAGTATGTAATTTATTTTCATTGTGAGCCTTAACGGGCTTAAAGCCCAATTTTTTCTAAACAAATTTTTCTTTAGATTTTTATGAAACCTTTTATTCTAAACTATTCTTTTACATTATTTTGGGCTTGAATTATTAAATTTTGGGTTTGGAACTTGATTTAATCCTAACTCTCTAAAGTTCTCCTTTAGGCCTAAACTTGACCTCTTTAGAATCTTAATATTTCCTCCTCATTTTATCCTACAATTTTAACATTAAGTAGCCTAAATAGGTACTAACTATAAGAATTAATTTAACTAAAATTTGGGACCCAAATTCACGCTCAAACTTGTATTGAGCCAAAATTGGCCCCAAGCCCATAAAACCCATTTTCTTCAATTTTTAGCAAATCTTCCACTTCCATTCATCAAAATATGCTTATTCAAGTGTGTGTAACCCATCAAACCAGAAACATATGGCTTAGAACTCAAACCTTAAATTTCTTAGTTTAGGCCGAATTTAATCCCTAAAATTTAGGGTATTTTTCTTCAATCAAAATGTAATTTTTCATTTCTAAACACTAATTCATACTTAAGTAAGTCGAATTGAGTGCTAAAACATCAATTAAATGAAAACACTAAAAACCCCAAAATTTGGGATTTAGACCAAATGGGTGCATTTAAGTAACTCTAGGGGTTTTTGAATTTTAACCTAAATTTTCAAGCTTAATTAACTTGTTTCCACCTTAATTACATGAATTATGGCTTCAAAACTATTTCCCCAATTTTGAATCACTAAGAACCCTAACCCTATATTTTTTTTTTAATTTGGTAACTAAGACAAAATCAAACAATTAAACATGAAATTGACTTAAAATTAAAAATTCTTGTGGTGTAAATGAGATTAACTTACCTAAATATATTCCAAGTAAACTTCAAAAGGTGAAAATTTTGAGAATTTCTCCTTCCTTCTTCTTCCCCCAAATTTGCCTTAATTCCAAAATTTTCTCTTTGGAATTCCCCGAGCTTCTAACTTGTTTTCCTTGCTTAGTAGGGTGAATTAAGGTGTATAGGAGTGTTTAGAGTGGTTTTTAGGCGGGAAATCCTAAGGAAATTTTACAAGAGTTTCCTTTAGGTTTAATGATTTTTATGCCATTTTCTTTAATTTCATGCATACCTATTTATAAGCAAATTTTTTGTGGACCTTTGATTTCATATGCACCATTGAATTAAGGTATTCTTGGAGGGATCTTGGCCATCAAATTAAAATTTAATCCTAGCCTTTTAAGTGGTTAAATCTTAAACCTTTGATTTTTCTTTTAATTCTAATTCATCCATCTTGCATGCTTACTAACCCCATCTTTTTTAGCAAGTCAAAGTGCATTTATTAGGGTCTAGTTATGCTACAAATTTCAGCTGGAAGGTGGTGAAAGTGTCCAAAAGTTTTTCTAAATTTTAGTCCCTCATTTTCTTAATCTTTTCTCTAATTACTCCTCTCACCATCTTTCAATTTTCCAATTGGTCACTTTAAGTCCTTCCCCTAAGGGTATCTTAATATATTTTAAACTCCTTAGGTTCATAGAAACTTTAATTTAAAAGTTGAAACTTTCAATTTTATGCAATCTAGTCCCTAATTTCTATGCAATTAGCCCCCTAATTTTAAAATTTTGTCTCATACCTTTCAAAATTTTAATTTCTTTCCAAAATAAATTCAAAATTTTATTAAGAAGAATCAACCTAATTTTTCATAATTTGTTAATGCCATTTAAGTCTCTAAATTAATTATTTAGCATGAAAATTAGACTAGTTCTTAAAGAAAACATTCCTTGTACCTAATAAAATTAATTTAAATTTACTAAATATTCCTACACATCCCATATGATTTTTATATGTCCTTAAAAAAATTTCTTATATTTCTAAGACACCTAATTTAATTTTTTTTATCTCTAAAAACATTATTCCTACACATAGAAAATTTCATTAAATATTCACAACACATAAAAAAATTTATAAAATCACATAAAATAATCTAACACCCCTCTAACAAATATTCTAGGCAAACAAAATATTTTTCATCATAAACAACATACTTTAATTAATTATTTCATATAAAAACTATTATTCACACACCGAAAATCAC